AAAACCCACATAATGGCTCCAACAAAGCTCCTATCTCTACCTGTGCAGCAAGGGCAATTTTCACAATTTTCTCATTTTATCTTCCTGCACACCCTACAATGTGTAATTGTGGAAAAGCTGACCAAACAAACCTCTTTACAGCTTGATTGGGAATGATTTCACAGATCTTTTTCTATTGCTCAGAAGGAAAAAAAAAAAAATCCATTACTCTTATCAAGTACAACAAAATTATAACAAGGAAATAAAAAGCATTAGAAGATGCCTTCCAGAAGCCTGATGTGAAAAACGCTGAGTTGGGGGTGAGGCAGGGGAAAAACCCCTAAACAGACTGTCTTGCCAATCTAAATTAGGAGATGAAAGTTTAAACCAGTCAGGAACTTCCTGACAGAGACACCATCTGCTCACATAACTTGGATATAAATACTGTGCTTTAAGCTCTAAAGGTAAGAAGGGTGCTAATAGCTGGAGCTGTTGAGCTGAGAATGGAGGAGGGACTGTAGGAACTTCTTTTTGGGTTGGCAATAAGGGGTCTGGAAGGCCAGGAGAATCTCCTTCTTCCCTCAGGTACCTTCCTTAACCCTTTTCAGCCACCAAGGCACTCTGTGCCACCAGGGTACCTGGCAGGTACCTTGTGAAGGTAAAATGAGGGAGTGACAGGAGATGGGGAGAGCCTGAGGGGGACAACAGGAACAAGGGGGGATGCGCATAATGCAATGCCTCTCACTGGAGCCTTGGGAGCTCTCAGCTGCTGCAGTAATGGCTGCATCATGGAGCTGCTGCAGCTCCCACTTTCAATCAAGAAATTCAGCTGTAGATAAAGATCAAGTGCACCCTTATAAACTTTAGGTTTGGTATTAAAACATCCCTCATGATCATCATCCTCTTGCTCCCTCATTCTTCTAAGTATGGCCCTTGTCTCATCCATCATTGCTTTCTCTTTGTAATTTAGACTCACTGGGACTTCTCCAGCAAGGCAGTACATAATTTTTAATTAAACAAAATTACTTGGGCAGATAATGTAACTGTTCATTAATTTGTGGGAGAGTTAATCTTAACTGCAGCAGCTCTCTTTTGAGGATATAATGCAAGAGTGCCATAGGCCAGATGTGCTTCAGCCTCCCTGGGGAGCCTGTGAGGACACAAGATCGTAACTTCCCCTCACCTTTAGCAGCCCAGGTCCAAAATGCTCTACTATGTATCTCAGTTGCAAATTAAGCAAGCTGTTAAGAACTGGGCCTTTCTTTTCCTCCCACAGCAGTAAAGTTATTGCTGTAACTTTATATATAACCTTATCCTTCCTATACCTCAAGTCCACACACCATCACTAGACATTAACCACTTCACTGGTGGTCAGCACAAGTGACCTGCTTTGGAGCTATGATATGAATGCAAATGCACACACCTTGTTAGTCAGAGCTGGACCATCAATACATCTCTGCATGGAGGGTGGCACCTGGTAAATATCTTTTCCCACCAGACCATGACCAGTGGGTATTTGGTAAATTCCCTGATTCGGATGGGAAGGTGGCACTTGGTAGACGGGGTCCCGTGCTGAGGCATGTGAGCTTGGCACTTGGTAGATCTTTTGCTGGTTGAAGGACTGATGTATCAATCCTGAATTGGACATATCCTGGCCAGAAGGACTGTCTTGTACCACTGGACCTATCAGGAGTTTCACACGGTTGCCTGGAACAATGCCTTGCCGGCCATGTAAGGAGCAGAGCCACCATCCTTCAAGACCTTCAGTGTTCTGTTCTATCACCGTCAAAATATCTCCTTTGCGGAAGGCCAACTCTTCTGCACATTCAGGAACATTATCGTACAGGGCTCTTGCCATGAGATTCTGTGGAAAAAGAAGGGCAGGACAAACAAATGAAAAAACTAGCTAGAATTTTTCTAAAACTTCAAGCACATTCTAGGTGAAGTAAGAACTGAATCTGAAAAAGTGTGTAGGAAATCAAAAATCACAAATACAGGGAAAATAACACAGCACAGGACTCCTCTATCCCAGATTAGAGCTATGAGAGGCTTATGCATTAGCAACCCTGCTAGTGAGAACTCTTCCCATGATACTATGTCAGATAGAAGCTCTTTGATGGACTATTCACCTGAAGAGACAGGATGTCAGGAGAGTTCTGCTCTTGGCATTAAGATGCTCCTCCTGTGAATGGAGGTTTGTATCTTCACTCTTGACATCGATTTCCCTATAAACATGCTCTGTGTATTGCTACAGCTAGCTGGCTGATATTTAAAATAAAACTTGAACAGGAATCTTGAGGACGTAGTCCAGAGCAGTTGTTTCCAAACACATTTGCAGGGTCTCAAAAGAGTTTCTGCTAGAGGTGCAGATCCTGTTAGTGTAAAGGCAGTGGGCTGGCTTTTCTTAGCTGCCACCTGCAGGCTCCTTAAAGTCAGGGATCTGTAGACCACCTGGTGAGGAAAAAGTGGCCTAAAATACAAACTGATAAAATGTCACAGTTTTTGAACTACAATGTTCGTGTTGGTACGTAGCTCTGTGCCTTCTGTTCTTTCTGTAAACTTCCTTGGTGGTGCAGCACAGCACTAGCTTAATAGGTAAAAAGTTTCTTCCCCCCGCTGCCTTAAAACCACCACCAAAGAAACCCCTCAAAGGACAAGGTTCCTCGGAGTCCCACTCCCTGTAGAAAGATCTTGAAAAGAACATTATTTAAAAAATATTCTGCCCAGTGACCCCAGGTGGAGTCATGCATTTGCTGTGAGGAAAGCTGTACCTATCTATGTGGGCCTGTCCTTATATCAAAGAGAGTAAGAACTTAGGTACCAAACATTACCACAGCTTGCATCTTTATGTAACTTGGGAGGAGTCTAAGGGCAGCCAGGAGTGTCTTTGACCTGTGTCAGCATAGTCTAAACATAGATGCATTGTGCTTGATTATGTCAAGTGAAGCAGCAACATTAATACAGGGAACTTCACACAGGTCTACTCCCAAGCATTTACCTAGTGTTTCAGGCAGGCTTTGCAGCTTGCCCTGCCCTCTGTTTTGTTGTGGCTATGCTACCAGCAGTACCTCTGCTAAGAAGTTTTAAGCCAACTCCGAGTCGATGTAAGATTGTGGTCTGTGAGGTACAGATGTGCCACTAACAAGTGCCATCTCCTCTCACTGATTGAACCAGCTCCCTTCCCTCTTTGCATACCTGTATGGCACATCCAGTTCTGAATAACTCATCAAGCTTAGGTTTTCAGTGGAAAGTAGGCAGGCTGTCTGTACTGACATTCTTGACCCCTCACAAAAGCCATGAACACTTAATTTCTTGGCTCTAGTAATATTTCCAAATGCGTTGGCAACAACTGCTCCATGCCTGCCTGCTTTTTGGTGAGGGCAGTCAGCAGAGATGGTTACAAATTGTAAGCATTTGAAAAGATATAGGGATCCCTGGATCTGGAGCATTCTAGATTAAGTATTTGGATGCAGCACACAAACTGGAATGATGCTAATCCACCATAAGACAGGGTATGCAGCTGTCTTGAAGATTTATCTTCCCTCTGTTAAACAGATAGCGTCAAGTACAGTTTAATGTTTTTATCTGTCATATCTCTCCTCCTTCTTAGACATATCAAAACTTTTTTTATCACCCACTTGTTATATCTTTCCCCATTGACACACACTGATGTTTTCCCATCATCTCCGTTCTTCATCAAGACAGCAGGCTTCCATTTGACCTTACTCAGTTCAACTTTTCTGAAGTGTAGCATACGGCCAGGAGGTTGTATAAAGGGCTGACTGGTGCACGGAGAAAGGGTAAGCTCAGGTGTCATATAAAAGGTAGATGAATATGGTTTTCCCAAGACATGTCGTGTTGAAATGGGGTGCATGAGATCAGTTTTCTCTTCTCTGAATAGCTGATCAGCTTTCAAATGCATAAGAAACTCTGGCTTTGCTTTTCATCAGCATTATTAGTGAGGTCAGTATAAATAAAGTTTTGGCTTGGAAAAGCAGGACTGCCATTTTGAACTCCTACGTAAATAGCAGCACTGGGGCCTACCATTCTCTGATGTACGTCTTACTCAGCTCATCAGTCAACACCATGAAGAAATGCAAATAGACATAAAGCAGGGAGCAATTTTGTGCATGCCCTGGCAGAACTGTAAAACTATTCTTCAGCATGGTCAAAACTAGTGGTCTCTTCTTGAACGCTACATCTGTGCTCTTGCCATGTTGACCTGGTTGCTCAGCTGAGTCCAAGGAGCTCAGAAAAGCAAAGCTCCTGCCTAGTCTGACTATTCAAGTTAGTATCTTACCTTTCTAAGCTTCTTTCTAGTGTGTCTTTCACAGGAGAAATCTACTAATGTGACTAGCTCAGCTTGTGCAACTGACTATTTAAAGGAGCTTTCTAAAAAGCTATAGTTTAAAGGAGGAAGATTGGGGGGGGCGGGGGGGGACAGACAAGGAATGACAACACACAAAAAACAAGCAGGCTAAATCAATGATAAATGCTTATTCTTCTATACTTTTGAGATTAAAGGTGTTTGAAAAGCCTGATTAGCTTCTACAGCAAAGCAATTCTCAGAACAAAGCTGGAACGGTCATAGAATTAGAGCAGATAAAAGTTCCCATGTGAACTTTTTTCCAATTGCTCATTATCTCTGTCCCAGTGACCCTCTCACCACCTGGCATACAGCATGTTAATACTTTCTGGATGTGCTTCAAGAACTTCTTTGCTGCAAACAGCTTCAGATTCTCATTGTCAGTGTTAATTCACATACTGGTGCCTGAGTTACACTAATTGGTTGCCACTTGTTTCACAGCAATTTCCCCAAGGCCTTTTAAATAGCCCAGAGCCATGCCACCAGCATCAGTCACTGATGGAGCAGTGAACCAGGCAAAATATTCCTCCAAACAAGCACTGGGTCCAGAAACACTAAGCCTGTTGCTTGTTGCTAGCAACACAGGCACTGTTCCTGTCCTGTGTTTTGACCACTTCCCTGACTTCATTCTTCCTTCACAGGATTTCTTAGTATGAGCTTCAGGAACACTGTCACAGTTGCTTTCATTAGTTGGCAGAATCAGTCTGGAGAAAAATGAAATTGTCACCACACAAGGTCATCAAGAAAGCTTTTAAAAACCATAGAGGTACCTTTAAGCTGCTGTGGTGATCAAGATAGTAGTCCCCACTTTTCCACACACAGAAAAAAGTCCTGATCAAAGACACCCCTCGATGCTTGTGGGCTTTATCTGGGTTGATCTGACAAATCTGAATAATTTTTGGATGCTATGGGCATCATAGCCCACATCTCACAACACCCCCTCTCATTGGTCTCATGAGCTCAGAGACCAGGGAGGGTTATCTGGAATTAATTGGACTTGTTTTTAAAGGCATGGATCTGTCACTCATCTGTCTGTGACACAGGCACCAAATAAGCACTAAGATCTGATACGAGAAGGCAAAAGCACAGCAGTGACCCTTTTGCACGACTAAGTGCTAAAAAAACCATTTCCTAAACAAATTGGCAGTACAGAAAGGGTTGATGAGGAACTTGTCTTGGAGCTTGTTTTTGCAACTGGCAAGTTGCACAGAAGTCCCTTTATATTTCTGATACAAAGAGGCGAAAAAAAAGGAGGGCAACAGATTCAGAACTACAAATTCGAGTTCTGTAATGTCAGGGAAGAAATGAGCTGATCCTAGATAGGGAAAAATTTTGGTTTGCCATAGAAATTGGCTTTGCTTCACAAAATGAACATACTGGCAACTACTACCTTCTCTTAATAAGATTAAGGATGGAAGTGTTTGTTGCTCTTCTTTGGTCCAGTTAAATTAACTACATGACAGGTGCAGTGGTGCTTTCCTCAAAACCTGAAAGTACCTGTGGTCTATATATGGCTCCATTCTCCTGAGCCCTCTGTGTTACAGCAGCCATACTTCAATTAATGAATGCTTCTCTACAACTAATGGTTGATTGGAAGGACTGAGTTTAGCTTTTTTATCCTCAAGCCTTGCTAGCAATACTTGGATGTTTGGAAGTTGAACCTGGGGTCAGGCCCCCACTCTGTTAATACTCTGTACAGGCAAAACAAAACAAAAAAACCCAAAAACATTTGTTCTCAAGAAGCTTAAATTCCTCTGAACCTTGGACTCTTGAATGCATTAGAAAGCATCCTCTGTAAAATCACTGAAAAAAGGAAGTTTTTCAGTCTTTTGTTAAAGAAAGTGCTATCCCAGTCATCAGCAGGTCAAAGTAAAAGGGAGCCTGACCCTAATGACTGCTGCCTGGGGATTTTAGCTGGAACATGCTGCAGGAAAAGGCTCGGCAGACTTTGCTGATGCCTTATGTCAGAAACCGTCTAAAAGAACAAAACCTGAAATAGATGCTTTAGATTAAATGCAGATTACAGTGCCTGTGGTCCCAGCTTTCTACATTGGTTGGAACACAAGTAAAACTTTCAAGCTAGGTAAAGCAAACCTGGGATTTGAAACTTCTACCTGAATTTTCCTTTAATGCCACTTGCAAATCTACTAGATAAACCCCGGAAAGGCACAGTTCATATTCTCTGCACACCTTAGATTTTTCTCTCTCTCGCATCCAGGATGCATGTCCCAGTAAAACCTGAGAGCAAAAGATGCTGCCCTGAAAGCTGTCAGCTGTTCTACTTGTAGAATCTGAAGGAAAAAAAAAAAAAAAAGGCTCCATAAACTATTTTTCTCAGATGCTGATGGAATTACAGGCCAAATTCAGATGCATAAGTGAGGTCTATTATAGAACAGTCAAAGCTGTCTACTCTCTCCTTAGCCTACTGCAATTGATGGTTAACATGCCTGCAGCTGAATAAAGATACAAGAAAATACTTTGAAGAATACGATCT